TGTTACGTACCTACGTATTTAGTAATTAAGTAATAACAATGTACGACGTAGCGCAGGTTTCTAATAGTACTCGACGATATAATTAATAAGGCAATTAGTATATTATAACACGTTAGGGACACTGTAAAAGTATCTCTCTAGGAAAGTCAAACATTCATACGAAGGATACGAGTCGACCAGCATACCAAGTACGAGACCAGGACTCTGTCTCATGACCGAATTTTGCCACTACTATGACCACCCACTCCAAAGGACTCGATCATATAAATACCAGCCCAGGACAAGAGCTCGTCAGACGGTTAGGGATACTCAAGACACTTGGAGGCAGGTCGTAAAACCACTCACAGTCTTGGTATCATTTTGGAGGCAGGTCGTAACACCACTCAAAATCTTAGTAACAATTCAGAGTCAGGTCGTAACACCGCTCACCTCTCTACATAAGCTTTATACATTGTAATTTTGTACTTAAATAAATACTCATAATAACCAAGTGCATCAAGTATTCATTTCCACGTTGATGTATATATCGACGTCAGTTGGGACGCAACAGAATTTTGGCGCTGTGGACAGGGACTTCCAAGATACAAGGATCATTCAACAATATTTTTCGAAATATTTTGGATCAACTTCAATCAACAGAGGCAACTTCACCTTCGTGGATCACCGTTGAGCTGAGGAGTGCACGCTTCAATTCAACGACTCTGGGAAGACCGAACGTTTGTTACAATCCAACTACGGCGAGAGAGATCAAGCAACGAGATGAATACAGCAATGTTGTAAGCATAATTTATATAACCGTCTCCTTTGGTCTATTGGTCCATCGTAATTAGGGAAAATTATTAAAGAAAGGGCATATTATAAAAATATTATTAAAATATTATTGAAGGGCATATTATAAAAAGTTATTTAAGGGGCAATTTTTTGAAGATATTATTGAAGTTATTAAAGGGCATTTATTGAAGTTATTTTTATGAATTATTAAAGGGCATTTATTGATTATTATTGAAGGGCAATTATTGATTATTATTGAAGATTATTTTGTGAACTATTAAAGGGCATTTATTGAGAAGTTATTATTATGAATTATTAAGGGTATTTTATATTATTTTGAGAATTATTGTGAATTATTACAGGGCATTATTGAGATTATTATTGAGATTATTATTAATTATTGAGGCCATATTTTTGAGTTCATCTTATTATTTAAGTACAACTCCCTTGGAATTAGCTACTCCATTGTATAGAACACGTGTAGATTTTGTAGCCCATGTTTTAAAGTCCCTAGCCCATGTTTAAAGCCCGCCAGCCCGAATAGAAGCCCCAGCCGAATTTAAAACCCAAATCGAATAAAAAAATAATAAGTCAATTAAGATTATATTAAATGAGATTATAATTAAAGGATTAGAGTAAAAAAATAAATATTAATGAACAATAGTTCAGAAGGAAATATTAATGACGAATTTGAAATGATAGCTAGAGAAACGTTAGATAGAATAATTGAAATAATCGAAAACGAAAGTAATTTAGAAATTGACGTAAACAATACTGATAGCGAAATAGTTGACAACATAGAAATAAATAATTTAGACGAAGAATTAGATTTATTTAATGAAGAAATACTTAATGAACGTATAGAAACTAAACCAATAACCAGTGATATATTAAATAAAAGTTTACGATTAATAAACCTAGAAGAGTTTGAAAATAGTCCTACTACTAGCGCAATTCGTCAAGGGTTACGAAGTAGTAGAAATACTATACACACCGAATATAAGTAGTATATATTTGTATGTTCACAGCCAGCTTTTCCAGGGAAAAAAAAAAGTTCAAGGGGGGAATGTCCCCTTGGAGCACTCAGATTTACCGTGTAACACAATTTCACACTGATTGACTACCAAATTTCGTCTCACACAAAAAATATTTAACATTTACCAATTTTTAAAACTAAAATAATTATTTCAAGAAAAAACACAAATTATTAAATCATAGTTTTTTTATTGTTACAAATAAATTCTTAATAATATTTACACAAGTTTTCTTACTTCTCTAGTAAAAGGTTCATATTCTACAATACGATCATGAATTAAGAAACAGTAAGCAGTCACACCTGTGAACGATTCTGAAGCTTCAATTTCCAATTGAACATCCACTGCTGAGGCTGTGGCTGAATCGTTTTGTTTCGAAGTATCGATAACTATAATTGGAGCGTTTGTCAGAAAAGTAGAAGGACTCAATATCGGGTTGCGAATACTTTTTTCATAGTACGATTCTTGAAACGATGTATACATATTATATAATAAGGTGAAGTTATTTTTAGTAAAATCTAAATTCAAATTATCGTATGGATAAGCTATAGAGTTCAGAAATACTTTAACGTTTGTTAAATTACAATGATCAAATATACTACAATCTTTTGTTAGCAAATTTTTGCGTCCTTTTTGTAATCCAATTATGATAAATCGCGGTTTTTCTAATTTTGAAGCAGTTTTCAAATTCCATACAACTTTTTTAGTGGTTCCGAGTTCAGGATATTCAAAAGTTTCAAAAGATCTAAAAGGGATAAATAGACTTTTTTCTTTTTCTATAAGTTTCAATAATTTCAACCTTTCTTCATCGTCGACCGTTATATGTGGGACCTTCCAGACTATTTTATTTAAGGTGATTTTACCTTCAGTAGCAGTTGCACCACTTTTAACTTGTAAAGCATTTAAATCACTATGACTTCGGGTTAATATTAATTCCAATCTAGAATTCACTAATATTCTTTTATAGTCTTCAAACAATCCTAACCAATATTTCAATGGTATGCAAGCACTAAATTCACCTTTTTCATTTTCCGATTGCGTTACGTTTTTAAAATTCCAGCCAGCATTTTCATAACAATTGTAGTTATCTGGCGTACCGGATAAGTAACCTTTCAACGAGCTGGTGATTCCAAGAACACGTGTGCTATCTACTTCTATCCCATTGATTTCCAATCGTATTTGTTCGAAGAGGTAAGAGTAACCGTTATTAGATAGTTTCACTTTGGTAGCATCAGTAATTGTTCCTTCCAAAAAAATAAAGCTTTCGTGTAGATATGGGTAGACATCCGTTTGCTGGATTGATATACGTATTTCATCATTATTATTAAATGATGTAGTATACGGTGTGTATGAATGATATTCAATTTTCGTAATTTTAGAATCCGTTTCGTACTGTGAAGTTATATCTAAAATATCACTCTCAGGCATTCTGCTTTAATTGATAACCCAGAGCTTGTAAAATTTTTTTATTTTTTTCCGTTAATTTTTTTATCTTATTTGATGTTGCTGGTAACACTTTAGTCTTATGACTAGTTGTGCTGATCCGAAGTAGCGGGTTTATATTGAATTTCAACCCCATCTCAAGACCCGTAACGTTTAATATGTAACACGATTGTCAATGCCTCACCAAAATTATCAATCGGATTATGATCTTGATCAACTAACTGAACGGTTATCGAATCAATATTTGTTTTATTCAATTTGTAATATATTAAATTTGGCGGTGCCTGAATTACTTTCGACCCTGTCTTTCCACTCGGGAAAAACTCATAAATCGAATGACTCTGAAGATGGTTGCTGAATGATCCTTGAGCTATATTACACATTACTTTTATAGAATTAATTGTGTTTAAATTTACAGCTTTTTCCGATCGAAGAATGTTGTATGGATTATATACTCGTTTTTCAAAACCGAATACAGGTGCTATACTAAATGGATATTCAAAGTGTAGTATCCCATTACATTTTATATACGATCTGAAATCATCAGGATCAACCGTAATGTCGAATGTTAAATTGGTTAAGTTTTTACTATTATAGGCAACTATTTGCTTCTTAACTCG